CCCCCCCCCCATCCCCGACCACCAGTTCCTTCCTAATCCTCCTTTCCGGCCCCCCCTCCCCCGACATCACGATGATGCGCACACACGCACACATTCATCTTGGGACTTGTAGATCTGGCCATCGCGCTGGCCCTCCAGCCCGAAGGGATCCTCTGCCCGGTGTTTTCCCACGGGAGCGGTGTTTTCACCGCATCGCTGAGTTTCCTCGGGCCGGATGCCGGTCCCGATGCTTCCCGGGAGCTGGCCCGGCCACACAGCCTCTCCGCCGCCGAATTGATCATCTTCAGCACGGCCGCCGGTGGCGTGGCCAGCGAGCGTCCCGCGCAGGGTGGCAGCCCGGCCGTCCCGAGCTGGCTCGACCGCGCCATCGCCGCGGGTCTCGCCATGCCCGATTGGGTGCCTCTGCAGGTTCTGACCGTGGACCTGTGCATTCGCGAGATCCCCCCCTCGGTGAGCGAGTGTCTGCTCTTGGACCAAGCCCACTCACGCGGCACGGCCCTGGCTTCCTCTTCCTCCGACAGGATCTCCCTCTCCCGGGATGCCAGTGTCGAGCGGGACCTGATTGAGGTGGTCGCCTCGTGCACTTTGACCGATGTGGTCGGTCAGCTGCCCGGCGATCCTGCCCCGGGGGGTGCCTCCTCGCCCGGCCGGTCGAGCCAGGATCCGGCCCTCTCGTCCTCGGCCCCGGCTGCGCTGGTGCACGACTCTTGCCCGGCCCAGGGCCCCCTCGATGGCCATATCCCCATCCCGGAGCCCATGTCATCCAGTGTGGAGCCGGTGCGGGGGTTTGACATGGCCACCGGGGGCTCTGCGACCCCGGGGGCAACGGCCGCTGGCCCGCGGCGGCGTGGGCGCAGCTTCCGCCGCGGCTTGCGCCACTACTTCCGCAAATCCGCCGACACCAGCGGCCACTCCTCGGCCATGGGGGGCTCCGGCGACTCGCGGGCCCTGAGCCCCCCGCCCCCGGGCTCGGCGGCCAACAGCACGAGCAGCCGAGATCTGCTGGAGGTGGACCGGCGCCTGTCGCAGCTGTGCTCGCGTCTCCTGCAGGTGGACCCTTTGGTGCCGGAGGTGGCGACCACGGATCGGGCGCGCGGAGGCGCCCCCGGGCCGGCTGGCAGCTGGAGCCCCACGGCCGACATCGCCTCCACCGGGCCCGGGCTGAATCTTTGTCTGTGGGGCCTGGCCTTGGGGCATCCCCATGGCGTGGCCTCGCAGCAGACCCTCGTCGACTCGGACGTGTGGGATCTCCTGTCTCAGCTGCTCAGCCGCGTGTCCTCGCCGCACTGCCGGTCTGTGGCCCACCCGCTCAGTAGCCCGCACTTGACGCGGCTGTCCCTTGTGCAGTGCTATCTGGGTGACCGTGGCCTGGAGGTCCTCATGAAGTCCATGGTGGCCGGCTGGCAGTGGCTGATGTTCGCCTCGTGGATCAACTCGTCCCCCGGCGTCGAGGCCGGATCCGAGCGGCATCTTCACCACCGGCGCGAGGGCCGTCTCCTGGAGGGCATTCTCCAACCGTGGCCCATCGAGCTTGAGTACGCGCACGACCCTTCTCCCGCCCTTCTGGCCCACGCTGGTGGCCGTGCAAGTGCCACCCGGGGTGAGAGGATGCCTATGCATGCACGCTGGGCACTCCCCCCCCCCCCCCCTCCCCCGAAGCACCTGGCCCCTCGTCGGATGGCGTCACTGACCATGCCTCGGCCCTTCTCCCCGTCCCAGTCTTGCTTCCAATTCCATCACCCCGCTGGGCTGTCAGTATCTCGCCGACTGGCTGTCCTTTCCCGTGTCCATTCGCAGCCTGAAGTACGCGCACCCTGTCCCCCGGAGATGGGCCCTTCCGCCTGTTGCCCCTGATGCCTGTCCTTGTGTGCTTGTCAAAGTGCTCCGCCCACCCGGGCCCCTCGGCTCGCATGGTGCAGCCTCCCTCCCCGGCAGCCCTTCGTCTTTTCCATTCGCCCTTTTCCCCGCCCTTCTGTCCGCCCCTCCCCCCCCCCCCCCCTGAACCGCCCTTTGTGCGGGTTTCCCCTTCCAGCCTCGAATCCAACCCGCTCCTGCCGGAGGGCGTGACCGCGGTGGTCCAGGCCCTTTGGCGTTCGCGTGTCACCTCCGAGCCTTCCAGCCTGGAGGAGCTCAACCTCAATAGCACGTCGGCCGGCGAGGCGGTGGCCGCGGTCGGCGCGATGCTCGCCCACGGCTGGCCCGGCGCGGCGGCGGCCTCGCCAGACACCCACTCCGCCACCGCCACCCCGATCACGGGCAGCCCCAGGCTCGATGAAGGCCCCTCCCTGGTGCCATTGTTTAACCTCCAGCGCGGGACCCTCTCCTCGGGGCCCGTTCACCTGCGTGTCCTGCGACTGGCGGGTTGCGATCTGCACGATTTGTCCCCGCTGGCCATGGCCCTGCGTGTCAACCAGTCTCTCGAGCATCTCGAGTGCGTTCCGCACCACTCCACCGATCCCATCCCCCTACTTTCCAAGCCCCCACCATGCTGCCGAGGATCCGCCCCCATCTTCTCGCGGTCTCTGCCCCGTGGCCCTCTGTGCCTCTCTTTGGCTGACTTCGTGCGCCCTTTTCACCCCCCCCCCCCCAGCCTGAGCCAAAATCTCGGCATCAACATGGCCTCCATGCTGGACCTGGTGGAGGCCCTGCGCCAGGGTGGCTGTCGCAGCCTGACCCTCCTCAACCTGGAGATGACCGACCTCTCGGACGAGGTAGCCAATGCTCTTGCCGAGCTCCTCCGCTTCCAAGCGGACCAACGCCAAGCCACCGAGCAGCCGGCCTCGCCGGTGGCCATTGCCCCGGCCACCGAACTCGCCGGCGATCAGACACCTCCGAGTGATGATGTGCCCTCAATGCCAGCTGGCCGCGTGCTTGCCAGCCGTCTGCGTGTTCTCAACCTCCGGCACAACAACCGTGTTGGCTTTGCCTCCTGGGCCAGCTTCGGCCGGGTCCTGGCCCACCCGGCGAACGGCCTCGAGAGTCTGGAGTGCGTGCCGCCCCTCGCCCTTTGCCCCCCCGCCTACCGGCCTCCTTCCTCTGCTCTCCTCTTCTCGCCTTTCCCCCGCCTGACATCCTCCCCTGCCCGGCCCCTTGCGCCCAGCCTTGCGGACTGCTCGATCGGCTGTCGCGGGCTGTGCCTCCTCTTTGAGAAGGCCCTTCTGGCTGGCCATCAGCCCCTGCAGCTGCCTGACCTGGAGTGCGTGCTGCTCTTTCCTTTCCCCTCCCCCCGTTTCCCGGTCCCTTTCCATCGGGCTGCCGCCTCCGCCTTTGCCTCTCCGCCTTGGTCGCCCGCTGACTTCGCCCTTGCCAGCCTCTCGTACAATGACATCGGCGATGCCGGGGTCGGGGCTCTGTCCGGCTTCTTGGCCGCGCTCCCCTCTCACAGTGTCCTGAACCGCATCGTCCTCCGGGGGAACCGCATCACCAAACTCGGCATGGATCAGCTCCTGCAGGCTGTCGAGCAGGTGGTTTCCCGCAGCGACCCCGAGGCCCCGTGGCGTGCGGCTGTCAACCTCGACAGCAACCACATCGAGCCCAAGTGGTGGGGGCTCCGGCATGCCACGTCCCCGCCCCCGGGCGGAGTTACCGACGCAGCTCCGCCGTCTCCGCAGGCACATCCCTAGTGCGCGACCGCTCCCGTTAAGGGGGGGGGGGAAGTACATGCGTCTTCCCCTGTCTGGGCTGGCGTATCCGCCTCCCACTCCCTTGCCCCCCCCCCCCCACCTCCCTTGCTGGTCAACACGCAGAGCGTTTGCTGAAATGTTGCTTGGATCTATTTTGTGTGAAAAGTTGGAAAAGGGCATGGAGAAGGATGACGATGGTGTCAAGTACACATACATTATATATATATATATATATGCGAGGGGGGAGGGGGAAAAAAAGGGGGCGCGGGGGATGAGGTCATCAAAGCACAGGGAATGGACACATGCAGGGGGGGGGGGGGGGACAAAAGACGGGGAAAGCCCGGAGGCACACGCAGGGGGCCTTAGTCACGGGTGGAGGCACGGCCGCGATTGGCACCCGGCGCGGTGCCTACAAGGATCTGCGCCTGGAACTGGCGCAACGAGGTGACCAGGCCCTGGGCCTGCTCAATGAGGGCATTCTCCGGGCGCGGGGTGGCCGTAAAGCGGCTCAGCTGGGTGAGCACGGCCACCAGTGCCTGGTCGGCGCGGGCCACATTGAAGGGCAGCTCGGCGGCGGCCACGCGGCCGTCAGCCGGCAGCCCCGCGCCAGCCCCGGCCGCCGGGTCGGCTCCGGCAGCCAGAGCCGCCAGCCGTGGCTGGCGCCAGTGGTCAACCACATGCAGCAGCGAAGCCGCCAGCTGCAGGAGGGCACGCGTGTGAAGCTCGGTCGGGGAAAGGCCATGGAGCGCCGGGGCGGTCGAGGCCGGAGCCACATTCACCGGGGCCGGGATGCCACCGGTGGAGGCGGAGGCAGGAGCGCCGCCGGCTGTCTTGGTGCCGCTGGTGGCCCCGGACAGCGCGGCGGCCCACTGCGACGCGGTGGTCGTCTCCACCAGCAGGTGGTAGTACGCCGCAAAGAGGGCCGACGAGGGGACCCCCACACGGAGGAGGACCTCCACCGGCCAGGTGCGCGGCAGCCCGGCCGGAACCAAGGGCGACGGCTCCATCGAGAAGGCCGCGACACTGGAGGCCGCCGCATCCGGGCGCTCGAGCAGGAAGCGTTCCAGCTTGGCCACCAGCAGCGGCACCGGCAGCACTCGGTCCGAAGGGAACAGCTGCCGGCCCAGGACCACCAGGCGCTCGGCCAGCGCCGGCAGCGGGGTCCCCCGGTGCAGCAGCAGCAGGTACGTCCACGTCTGGTCGACCATGCTCGGCGAGGAGGTCCCACTGAGCTTCAGCAGGATCAGCACCATCTCGTAGAGCTTCAGCGGCACGGCAATCTCATTGAACATCTCCTCGAGGGTCAGCAGGCCACTCAGGCCGCTGAGGCGGTCCAGCGAGGCCAGCACCAAGTCCGGGTTGTGGCCACGAGCGGCGCCGGCCGCCGCCGAGGCACCGGGCCGGGCCCCGGAAGAGGAGACGCCCTCCGGCGAGGAGGCCAGGCGCCAAACCTCCAGAAGGAGCTGGCGCTGGGCGTTGGCCACCTCCAGCGCGTCGTCCAGCTGCTGGATCAGGTCCCCGGCCGAGGGGGCCGAGGTCTTGGACCGAACGCAGGCGGCCGCGCGCGACAGGTAGGCAATGCGGCTGTCCAGGTCGAGAGTGGGGCTGTGGGGGGGGGGGGGGGGGGGGGGGGGGGAGGGGGATAAGTCGAGAGGGAGGCAACGAGAGAAGGGGAGGGAAAAAAAAAAAAACCCCAACAAAGGCAACCCCGAGGAAGACCCCCACGAGGAGAGAACGCACTCGCTATCGGTGCTGGCCAGGCGGTAGAGCTCATGCGCGGCCACCAGGAACTGCCCATGGCGGATGTGGTAGCGCCAAAGGAGATTCCGGTGACGGGACTGGTCGATATCGGCGCCGGCCGGGCCGCCGGGCGCGGGGCCGCCCGCCGGGGCAAAGGCCAGTGCCCGGCTCATGGTGGTCAGCGCGTCCTCCGGCAGGCCCTGGCTCAGGTCCAGCTCGACGGCCGCCCGGAGGAATCCCTCCACGAAGGGGGTCCGGGCGTCCAGCAGCCGGGCCAGATCGCCAGGAGACCGGCTGTGCAGGAGCTCGCTGTACAGCAGCGCGTGGAAGATGGGATCCGCCGAGGCGAAGGCCGCGGCGAAGGTCTCCTCCAGGAGGGCCCCCACGGCGGCGGCAGATGTGGACCCGGACAGGGCCGACCCCCCGGCGGCCGAGGCCCCGGTGTTGGCCTCCTGCTTCTGCTGGAAGAGGAGCTGCGCATCACGCAGCACGGAGAAGGCCAGGCGATAGAAGCCCATGCGCGCGGGGGGAACCTGCTCGCTGGCGCCGGGACCGATGAGGGCCGAGCTCACGCCGCCGGCCATGCTCGACGACGTGGCCGAGGCCGATGCGGTCACCGGGGCCCCGCCGGCCGGGTTGCCGGCCGACGCGGCCAAAAGGGCGGCCGCCAGTTCCGGGCCCACGGGGACCAGCGCAGCGCAGCGCAGGGCCAGCGCCAGGGCAGCCATGTGCGCATGCTGCTGGCAAAGTTCCGAGGAAATGCGCGTCAAGGTGGCCACCGACAGGGTGGCGGCCACCGAGGTGAAGTGCGCGGTGGCTTCGGCCAGCAGGCGCAGGCGCTCCTGCAAGGTGGGCGCGTCGCGCGCCCGGCGCAGGAGCCCATCCGCACGGTGGAGGGTGGCGTCATCGGCGTCGAAGAAGGCCGGCGCCCGATCGCGCAGGGTCAGCAGCAGCGCATCCACCGAGGCACCGGCCTCGATCTGCGTGCGCAGGATGGCCGACATCAGGAGACGGCCCACCTGGCGGCCGGACCCGGTGGTCATCAGCGCTTCCAGGGTGATGCCCAGCCCGCCGGACTCGAAGCCCACGGTCCTGCCGGGTGGGGCACGGCAGCAGGCAGCATGGGCGGCACTTGTGGTCAGTGTCATCGACTGGCAGGGGTGCCGGCCGGGCCAAGGCATGCCACAAGCGGGGGCAAGAAAAAAAAAGAAGAGCGGGAGTCCAGCCAATCTCCCCCCCCCCTCGGGGGCCCACCAAAGGGAGCAAACAGACAAACACGCACTGGGTCGATCCGACCAGCTCCTTCATGACATCGGCACTCGTCAAGTACGAATAGTTGTCGATCAGGAAGAGCAGGAAGTCGATGGCCTGCAGGGTCTCCCCGAGGAAGGCCTGCACCGCGGCCAGCGACTGCGACTCGGACGGGGCATCCGGCACGCGAATGGTGCGGATGAATTGCAGCAGAGTGCCAAGGCGGGCCGACAGCTGGCTCAGCCGGATGGGGCCGCTCTCGGCCGTGAGGTCCGTGTTCGAAGAGGCCAACGAGGCGAGCGGCACCCGCCACAGGGACCGGACCAGGCGCGACGCGTACATGACCACGGCATTGTGGACCCCCGAGAAGGCAGCCTCCGGAGTGACAACCAGACGGCCAAATTCCAGCCCGGCCGGCTGCTGCACCACCTCCTGGGCGGTGAACTGCTGCGTGCTGCCGAAGTGGAAGAGGGCCTGGCGCGCCGCGGCGACAAGGGTCTCATTCGAGCTGCCGGGCGATCGGGCGACCATCGGGCAAAAAAGGGGACAGGAAGAACACAGGGAGGCCGGTCAGGACACCCGGGTTGCCAAAGGGGGGAAGGCGCAAGCGCGAGGGCGGGAATGTGCGGGGCGGAGGGAACAAGGCAGGCACGCACCCGGAGGGGGTTTCAGAGCAAATCAGAGCCAGGCACATGCAGCATGCCTCATCTCGAGTGAAGCTGCGCCAACGGGGCGAGCGGAAGCGATGGGGAGGAAGAGAGAGAGAGAGAGAGAGAGAGCCGGGGGAACACAGGGATGGAGGGTTAGATGCAGGCACAAACACATAGCGACAACAAGCAAAAGGATGAACCCCACAAGCAGCAGTATACCTCTTGAAGAACTGCAGCAGCGCCCCGGTGATGTTCAGCCCCGAGGCAATGAGCAGCCGGCGCAGGAGGTCAATCGGCCGGAGCTTGACCAGCTCGTGAATCCCGGCGCTGGTGAGGCAGAGGAATTCCCGCGGGGCCTGGTAATACTGCGACACCAGCTCGCTGATGGCCGAGTCGGGGATGGCCCCGAAGTCCGACGTGGCGGCCGGCGACTCGTCCAGCGCCCAGATCTTGCCGGACACCGGGAGCCGCGCCAGCTGCTCGACATAGGCCGAGGTGCCGGCGCCACCGGCCGCACGCGGCCCGGACCCACGCTGGTCCGGCGCAAACATCGTCAGCATGTCCACATCGTCGCTTTGCGTGCTGGCCATGAGGGTGACGCCATTGTGCAGGCAGACGGTGTGCACGCGCGCCGGGCCGCTGGCGGCCGCATTCGCGGCCAAGGCCGGCCCACCAAGACCAAAGCCACCCGTGGCGGCCGTCTCGCGAGGGGGCATCCGCACCGACAGGATCGACAGGTTCTGGTCCAGATAGACGCGAGCGCCGATGGCGGTCACGGCGACCAGGCGGACGCGCGACGACTCCGACGCCTTGATGGGCTTCAGCGACACGACGCGCATCATGGAGCTGGGGCACAGGAGGCCGGTGGGAGGCGGGCAAGGTGTTAATGCGGGGGCACGGAGCGGCAGGGGCCCACCGGGATCTTGCCCGGGGAGGGGATGGGAAAAGGGGAAGGAAGACGGGGGAGATCGCCCGCCCGGGGGCCAGGCAGCAGACACATACGCATCCAGGAGCAGGTCGGCTGGCGCCTGCTGGAGGGCCGCCTTGACCAGGTGCGAGCAGGACACCGCCAGCGAGAGACCCTGATCCGCGGCCAGCATGGCCCCCAGGGCCGAGTGGGTGGCCGGCCCGGCGCCAGACAGACGATAGGCATTGATGACCGACGACTCGGAGAGGGTGTAGAGGGTTTGGCTGGCATCGTCAACCGTCACCGAGACCAGTTGATCTGGAGGGCATCGATCGGGGGGAGGGGGGGGGGGGGGAAGACACGGCAGGGGGAGAAGACATGGGGGGCGGGGTAAGCAGGCTGCAAGGACCAAAAAGGGGCTCCCGCCGCCGGGGCCGAAGCCAGGAAGGCCATGAAAGAGGCTGGCATACCCTCGCGATGGAGCTTGAGGAAAGCCGGAATGAAAGGCGCCAGCGGGCCGCGCGTCCAGTTGATCAGGTAGCACCGATTGCGGAGCCAGCCCTCCGGCTGGTACACAAGCTCGTGCAGGTGGCCATCGCGCCCGGCCAGGAAGACACGGCCGTTCTTGGTGCCGACGATGTCCACCATGTGCACGCCATCGGTGGAGGCCTCGAAGCCGCACTGTGTCGTGCCGTCACGCAGACAGGCAAGCACGCAGAAATACGCCGAGGGGGGTGGGGGGGGG